TAAATAAAGAGAGAAAGATAATTATAATAATATTTTAATAATAAGGCTAATTAATCTTTTATTATATAACCTTAAAATCCCTTTAAATCTATTATAAAAATCCCTTTTTAAGAAATTCTATCTCCTTAAGCTTTAATTAATATAATACTATTATATTTATTTAGCTATTATTAACTTACTATAATATATAATTAATTAACTTTATATTTAAGAACTATAAATAAAGTAATATTAATAAAGAAGTAATAGTTTAAATTAGGGATTAATTATTATAGCTAAATAGTTATAGCTATTATTAAGGTTAATTATATAATAGTATATCTTTTAATAGGATTTTTAGTTTTTTAATTATTATAATTTAGTCTTTTAAGGTTAAAGCCTTAATAGTAATTACCTTAATAAAATAATAATAAAAAGGATATTTAATTTATTAAGGCTAAAGAAAATATCTTTTTTATATTTATCAATTAAGGCTATTTATTTAATTAAATTATAAGGTTTATAATAATAGCTATATAACCTTAAGACTTATTATTAAAATTACTATATTTTTTTAATATAATATATAATACYTTATATTATATTATATTAAAAAATAAGTATTTTATTATATTATATTTTTATTTAAGACCTTAATTAGCTATAACTTATATATTACTATAAAGATATTTTAACTTTTTAATAATAATTAATTTTTTAATAAAAATTTATAGTTTTAACTTAAAATATATTTTAATATTATAATCTTTTTTAAGGTATTATAAAATAATAAAAAAATACTTATTATATATTAATAAATTATTAATAGTATAATAAATTAATTTAATAATTCTTACTTATTAAATATAACTATTAAGTCTTAAGTATTAATTATTTATATTTATTTTTAATTTATATTTTTTATATTATATTACTTTATAATTTAATTTACCCTAATTTAAACCACTACTTCTTTACTAATATTACTTTATTTATTCTTAAATATAAGGTTAATTAATTATATACCTAGGCATATATATTTAATTAGTAGATTTATTATTAACTTTATATTAATTTAGCTTTTATTAACTAACTTATATAAATAAAGTTAACCTAATTCCTTTAATTCTAACTTTAACAAAACCTTTAGTCTAACCCTACTATTACCTTATATTTATCCTTAACCCTTATATAAGTAAAAGGAAGTTAAGTATATATTTAGCCTTAATAATTACATTTTATAGTTACTCTTTATAGCCAGTTAAATTACCTAAAAAGGCAGTTAGAAAGGTAGCCTAATTAATTATTAAAGTCCTGCCTTACCTTATAGCTTTTTTTAAGTCTTTTAATTATAATAGTTCTTTAGCTAGCTAATATAAAAATATTATATAACTTAAAATATCTAAATTTATATAATCAATTATATTAATTAAAATATAATTAAAAATAGCTATTTTAATTAAGCTAAATTAGTTT